CGCCGGTCTCGCTCTGCGCGCAGCGCCGGCAGGAGCCTGAGGGCGTCCAGGAGAGAAGTGAGTGCCAGGCAGCGCCTCACGGGGCGCGAGGGGCCGACGCGGGCAGTGCGGGCCTTGGGTCGCTAGGATTCGGTGATGGTTTGGATCCCTTGTGAGAAGGGGCATCGGGATGGAGTAAGATGTTGGGGGCCACCACAAAACAAAAGGTATGTTGGCCTCGTGATTGAGGTATTTGGCACCTAATATACTGGTTTAACGCATTAGGAGGTCATCTGGTGAAATACCATCTGGAAAAATAATAGCTGTTCCGTGAGCTCTAGACAGCTATTCATCAGGTACTGTTTAGCAAGAAGCTGTTAAAACATATGGTTGAGGACTTTTAAATCATCAGCGTTAATGAATGTAACACCCAATTTACAGAACTGATTCCAAGAGCCTATCAAAATATTAAAAACTTGGCAAATTACTCCAACAGACATCAATGAAAGCCAAAAAGTGTCTTGTGTGTATGTATTTTCCAGTCAACAGATAAGATTCTCCTACACCGCTGCTTAATGCAAGAAGATTGTTATCATGTTGATTTGAGAGTAATTTAAAAATATTTTGCTGATAGGCAGTATGATGATGGACCAAAAATAAAATGCTCAAAGTATGTCTTGCCTGCAAAATACCGAGCTCCTCTCTGCTCTCTGACTGCATTCCTCAGTGAAATACTCATCATCATCAACAGCTGAACAACCTTAGCCATTAAATACTACAGTCAGTTTTGAGACTCTTGGAGTGTATTTGATAAAAAGTTTGTGTCGATACTAAAAACTCAAACATTCAGAGAACAAAACGGGGACAGACAATACAGCAGACAAAAACAAATATGAAGACAATTAAAAGCTGGAATAAGTGTGACCTAAGAAATTGCTCCAGGTCTATTCCATACCTAAAAAATAAACTTCCTGATAGTTTATAGATCTCAGTGATAGAGGCCAAAATACCAGGTAACACCTTTTACAGTATGCACGATCGCCCCAGATCATCATCATTTGGTCTCAGCATCCATACAGAAAAACACTAATGTCAATTATGTTCCTTCCTCTGAAGAAATGTCCTGGGACAAAGCAATTAATTAGCTCAGAAAAAAATGCAAGCACCAATGGACACATCAACTTCCAACTTCTACACGTCATTCTAGAGCAAGTGATAGAAGAATACAAAAATCATGGCATGAAACAATTCTAGGAGGGAGACTACAAAATTAATCTTACTCTTCTATGAGGAGGAGATCGCCACTTGTATGAGATGATTGTTGTGCACCAAATAATTTATCAAGTTGAGGAGTCTGGGGTGGAGGGATTCAAAGAAGTTTTACTTTGTATATAGGTTACCCAACTGCTGGGAAAATGAGAAAGTGGACACTGAAACTCAGTCATAATGCAAACTACACATGTGAATTACCAAAAAGTAGAAACATAAATAAATATTTGTGGTTTTTGTTTTGAGCTAGGATTAACAATCATCTCTTATGTGGAAGAAGGGAGGTAAAATTTGTTTCTAAAACAGTCGAGTTCAGACAGTCCAAAATGTTAAAAAAAGATTTGCTTCCTTGTGTGAAGTATTTCAAAGTTATTCCTGCATTTTCCACGTATGAAAGCTCTGATTAACAGAAAAGTAAGTCAACACCGTAACATAGATTCCCATGACTGCATTTGCCCATATTCAACAGTAGCCAGTAAAAAAACTTAAAGCCTAAATTGGTACCTAAAAACGTTACACCAAAACCAGTTTTCATAGAACATGGTAATCAGTGTCCTTACTTTAATTTCTTGGTTTCTGTACAAATTAGAAGCTCTAAATTAAAGAGTAAAAATTAATCCTGCATTTTTTTCCCCCCACTGCTTTCAAAGAAGTAACTTTTATTTCACACTAAGTATCATGACAAGCAGAGGTTATCTGGTTGATCAACTGCATTACAGCAATACCCCAAAACTACAGGCATAACCAATGCGAAAAACAACCTCGTACCTTAAACTACCTTTAGTTGTAAGGAGTGTTATCTAGACTTATCATATAAGCACTATCACACCAAGAGCCCTGGCTGCTGTTTTGGAAATTAAGCACTGCTCTGTTACATTTGGAGGAGGACAGTTAGGGTTTCTGTGAAAATCAGTCTCCTAAAACAGAGGAATGAACCTAGTACCTCAATAAAGAGCACAGGAACAGTTTTGTTCAGATTAGCACCTGAATACATTTATACTTTTGGAAGTTGTAAAAACCTGTGAAGGAACTGTCACTTACTCTGTGTGGCCCTGAAAGACATTCACAGAATGGATAGAAGGATCTCTGAAATCCCACAGACGGAAGGTTGTATCGCGTGATGATGTCACCACAAGACGCTGGGTGGGATGTGTACAACAATGTGTTAGCTCTTGGTCATGTCCTACAATCACAGATGAGAACATGTAAGGTAATGAAAATAAGACTTTTCATCTCCACATACACTTGGAATGAAATGCTGATGATTTTTTTTTTCTTTTTTCCCCCCAAACGGGAAAGAATGATAATACTCATTCTGAACTTTAATGTTGCTACTGCTGTAAAAGTTTGGAACTCTACTTAAGAGCAAAAAAAACCCTCACTACTCATTTCACATTATTATGAAGCAGTGATAGGTTATTGCGACTTAAGATGCCATGAACAGAACAAAAGCATTTTGCAAGAACTAAAATTTAGCTACATTCAGTTTAAAAACAAGTACTTCCATAGGTTATATCACAAGCTTAAAAGAACACAAATTCATGCCCAGAGGATTACAAATTTCTAAAGAAACCATTACAAAATTGAGCAGCAGCTTAAGTCTTGTACACACTTGCATCATACTCCAGGCAAACAACTTACTTTTCCCAATGCTTCGGTATCTACAAATAATCCCACATATAAAAATAAACCACCAATTTATCTTTTTGTGAGTGAACAAATACCTGTAAGAGAATGGACAAGCTCAGAAGTCTCTACATCATACAGATTTGCTGTCCTATCCCATGATGCTGTCACAGCTTGCTTCCCCCCAACAAGCCAGTCTGCTGCTATGACCACTCCTTGATGGCTTTTCAGCGAAGTTAACGGGGCTCTGACAGTGGGACAATCACTAGAACCATCTCCATCTCCATCAGGTTCATCTTTATCTGAGAACTCAACTTCATCTTCTCCAGACATTTGCTATAAAATACAAGAGAAAAAGAGATTTAGAATAAAAGGGAAGGACTGTCTCTAAGTTACATCTTCCAGTGTAAATGCTTCCCAATCACCTTAATGTGAATGTGGGCAACTTAATTTTGTAGAATCTAGCCTATTCAGGCACTCACTATCAAAAACTTAATTGGAGGAATAATACCACTGAGTAAAATGCAGTTTTAATAAACTAATTCATTTCAAAATCCCCCCCTTTACTTACTTACAGGTAAGGATAGGAAGCATCTAAGAGGACACTATTTTAATCTTTGGGAAGATAATCACTTACAGCCATATTTTTAGCCATTAGAATCAAAATAATGACATCGATATTTGTATGCTGATCAATACACAGCCATCATGCAGCGCTGATGTAAACTGGATGCAAAATTAATTATTTTGCTAACTATGAAGCATCGATCTCTGAACCCTATTTCACTTATGCAAGACAAATGTACTTTTCTTTGATGATATCTGGATGTGAAAAAGGTAACATTTGTACTGCTCTTTCAAAGTAGAAATGCCAAATCAAATAAACTGAACAAAACATCTTCCATTCAGAAATCTAGGTTCAACAAGGCCAAGTGCAGGGTCCTGCACCTGGGTCAGGGCAACCCCCTGTATCAATACAGGCTGGATGATGAGGGGATGGAGAGCAGCCCTGCCGAGAAAGACTTGGGGGTACTGGGGGATGAAAAGCTGGACATGAGCCGGCAAAGTGTCCTGAGCTGCATCCAAAGAAGCATGGCCAGCAGGATGAGGGAGGTGATTCTGCCATCCTACTACTACTCCTCCTCCTCTACTCTGCTCTGGTAAGACCCCAACTACAGTGCTGCGTCCAGCTCTGGAGCCCTCAGCACAGGAGAGACATGGACCTGTTGGAGCGGGTCCAGAGGAGGCCACCAAAATGACCAGGAGGGTGGAACACCTCTCCTATGAGGACAGGCTGAAAGAGTTGGGGTTGTTCAGCCTGGAGAAGAGAAGGGTCTGGGACACCTTCTTGCAGCCTTCCAGTAGTTAAAGGGGGCTTGTAAGAAAGATGGGGACAGATGTTTTAGCAGGGCCTTTTGCAACAGGACAAGGCGTAATGGTTTTAAGCTAAGAGAAGGTAGATTTAGACTAGATCTAAGGAAGACTTTTTTGACAATGAGGGTGGTGAAAGCCTGGCACAGGTTGCCCAGAGAGGTGGTAGATGCCTCATCCCTGGAAACATTCCAGGTCAGCTTGGATGGGGCTCTGAGCAACCTGATCTAGCTGAAGGTGTTCCTGCTTATTGCAGGGGGCTGGACTAGATGACATTTAAATGTCCCTTCCAACCCAAACTATTCTGTGATTCTATGATTATACAGCCATCTCTTGCCCCTGCTCAGCTTAATGAGAAGCTCATGCTATAAACTGTGTTTGTCTTCATAATTTAGTAAGGGTATTTTTATCTCAAATACAGCATTTGACGGTCTACAGTAAACATTGACTGAACAAAAGCCTGGGGACAACATCATCAGATAGTATGATGAGTGCTGGCAGGGGTCGATTAGAAATCAACAAAGATACAATTAAATAAATGCCAAAAATACAAGTCTTTACCATCAGTTTTTAATTCATACCAACTATAGCTAATGCAGGTGCCTCTAAGTTAAGCTACAAGAATTTAACCAGTTTAAAAAGAACCTTACTATTATTTATTACTTGAATTATTACAAAAACATTTTACTCAACAGTTCATTCACTTACACATTTACTACCTTGAGCAAAAAGTCTAATGTACTTGCAGCTGCATATTCTATTCTGCACCATAGATCTTTGAAAACATGAAGTGAGTCTTTGTTGAAAGAAAGGCTGAAATGTATCTTTAAACTAAAAGCTTAAAATCCCAACTTTTGCAATCCTGAAATCATGTAATTTTTTAATTATGTAGACATTTAACATTCAGTCTTATCATAAAACCTGTATCTGATGAAATTGCTGTGCAATTAGTTTTAGTTGCAGTAGGTTGATTGCTTACATTGCAGTCTGCAGTTGGCTGAGGTGCAGGCAACTGTACCATGTATCTCCAGATGTGAGCTGTCTGGTCTCCAGATGCTGCACAGGGGGAAAAGAGGTAAAAAAGACAGAAAAAGAGATTAAATAAGAGTATTCCCATGGACAATAAAAAACAAGCTTTAACATATTTGGCAATACCGAGTTCCATCTTTTTCTAACATACTATTATGACCTTTTTGGTAAGCAAGCCTCAACATCAACGGTTACTTTCTTGGGTTCAATACTGCTAAGAACATAACTCATTATGCAAAACATAAGTAGCTAACAAATTAATCATTCCTACAGTGAAAACATCCACTTAAATACTACACATCAGAACACGATTATCACTGCTGCTCTAATATGTAACATCTGAAGAAGGCATTTAATACATCACCAGGTGCAATCCTTCATTTGCTATTTCTCAGAATTCTGGGGTGGTTCTTCATTCAATGATTTCTTCCATTAAATGTTTTTAGCATGGTTTTAAAACCCAAAAGAGCACAGATGAAGCTTCTGCCTTGAGGTACTCAGCTTAACTAGCACCAGTTCACAGCTCAGCAGGTATCATCTGATTTTAGACTTCATTTATTTTTGAAACAGACTTATCCATTACTAACTAGAGGAGAAACTCAAGATTCTCCTTGTTATGGACAGAACAAACATGCTGTTATACCTAGGAGTACAGTGCTGAGAGTTCTAGATTGAGAAGAAAAGCAGTTTGTTATGGGTATGCATAGATCTGGCATGTGCAATGTACATGAAAGCACTAGGAAAAAATATCTCATCTAATAGACTGAGTAAGAAGGCTAGAAGAAAGATCAACCTACTTTTATTTCTGATGTCAGTATTCTGGATCACCAAGGCAGATTTTTTTTTATTTTAATCCATTCTAAATCAATCAAGTGACACTGAAGAACAGGTCCTCTGAAAACTTTCAATGGAAATACTTTGGAGAACCACCTCTCAGAAAAATAATAGAAGAACAAAAATCTAGCTATGAACAGCTTTTGTTTGTTTCATTTGGTTTGTTTTTTGTAAGTCAGTTTATATAGCAACATTGTTTATGGTACTGAAACAATGGCTGCAGTTAGCATATGACAACAGGAAAATCCGAATAGCCAAACTTAAATTGTTAGCCTAGATAGAAGGCATTCTACTCCCCACCTACATTTAAAGTAGTTACTGTAAATGCAGAAAGAAGCAGTGTTTTAATTTCTAACCTCAGTAATAATTATCCTCATTTTACAATGACTTACCTAATAGCAGCAAATTGAGTCCAGATCTCTTTAGTCCCAAAGCTAGTGCCCTAATTGCTGGACCGTATGAACCACAGTATTAGCCACATTAGACAGTTTTCAAACCTGAAGCTGCGCTGATGATATTCTCCGTCCTGAAAACACCTTTACACTAACAGCCATATTTTTGAGCTGTTTTTTTCTGCACACTCAGTATCACAATATTCTTTTCCTTTACTGCTGGAAATATCACATATTTCAAAAGGGTTAAAATAAAATTAGAGTAGAATATTTCAGTTGGAAGGGACCTACAAGGATCATCTAGTCCAACTGCCTGTCCACTTCAGGGTTGACAAGTTAAAGCACGTTGTTAAGGGCATTGTCCAAATGCCAAATACTGACAGGCTCAGGGCATTGACCGCCTCTCTAGGAAGCCTGTTCCAGTGTTTGACCACCCTCTTGGTAAAGAAATGCTTCCTAATGTCCAGTCTAAACCTCCCCTTGTGCAGCTTTGAACCATTCCCATGCGTCCCATCACTGGATACCAGGGAGAAGAGATCAGCACCTCCTTCTCTGCTTCCTCTCCTCAGGAAGCTGTAGAGGTCACCCCTCAGTTGCCTTTTCTCCAAACTAAACAAGCCCAAAGTCCTCAGCCACTCCTCACAGGACATGCCTTCCATTCCCTTCACCAGCTTTGTTGCTCTCCTCTGGATGCATCCAAGGACCTTCACATCCTTCTTAAATTGTGGGGCCCAAAACTGCACACAGTACTCAGGGTGAGGCCACACCAATGCTGAATACAGTGGGATAATCACCTCTTTTGACCAGCTGGCTATAGTGTGATGCACCCCTGGATGCAGTTTGCCCACTTGGCTGCCCAGTGGCAGACACTGCTGACATAACTGAGCCTGCCGTTGACCAGCACCTCCAGTTCCCTTTCTGCAGGGCTGCTCTCCAGCCAGTCCTCTCCCAATTTATACTTCTGTTCGTCATTACTCCATCCGAGGTGCAGAGTCAGACACTTGGACTTGTTAAATTTCATCCCATTAATCATAGCCCAATGCTCCAATGTATCTTGTCCCTGAAGAGAGTCAGGAGCACCTCTCAGTTTGCTATCATCATCACACTTGCTAATGGTGCATTCAACTCCTGCATCCAGCTTGTTGATAAATATATTGAACAGAACTAGTCCTAGAATTTAACCCTGAGGAACACCACTGGTCATCAGTCACCAGCCAGATGTAGGTCCATTCACTACAACTGAGCTCTGCCCTTCAGCCAGTTCTTCACTCAGCACACCTTGAACCTGCTCATCCCACAGCTGGACAACTTGTCCAGAAGGATGCTGTGAGGGACAATATCAAAAGCCTTACTAAAATTAAAAAAAAACTACATCCACCACCTTCCCCTCATCCACTAGGTGGCTGACCTTATCATAGAAGGATATCAAATTAGTTAAACAGGATTTTCCCTTTGTGACTCCATGCTGACTGTGCCTGATGACTGCATTATTCTTTAAATGCCTTTCAACAGTACCCAGTATAATCTTCTCCATAATTTTTCCAGGAACCGAGGTTGGACTAACTGGACTGCAGTTCCCTGGGTCTTCCCTCATGTCTGTCTTGTAAATTGGAATAACACTGGCAAAGTTCCAGTCAACAGGGACCTCCCCAGATTCCCAAGACCTTTGGTAGATGATTGAGAGGCGTCCTGCCATAACATCTGTTAGCTCCTTCACTACTCTAGGATGAATCCCACCAGGCCCCATGGACTTAGTGTCATACACCAGCTGAATGTTCACAAGTGTCTGTTTTGGAACAGGTAAGCACAAATGACAATGATATGACAAACACAGATGATCTAGCTCTGATTTGTCATGCCTTAAAAAAATAATTCCATCAACAAGAACACCGACAAAGCAGTACGGAGAAGGGCTACAACCAAAAAGATGCTAGCAAATGACACTTATTTTTCCATAATGATTAACATACTCAGCATATGAAAAAACTTTACATACCTGTAAGAGCCACTTGCTCCGTTGGATGAAACTTTATGGAATTTACTGTGTGAAACAAAGTAAAGTTTTAAGCTAGTATACTATAAGAATTATTTCACAATGTTTTGTCATTAAAAGCAGTGAAAAATCAAGTAGTCTTCAGTTTTGTAGTACAGCAATCTCTTAGGTGAGATAAAGCACAATCGTATTTTATTTGAGTCCATAAACCTATGTAGTATCAAGGAAAGCAGCTATAGTTGATTATAGAACGATACATATTTTCTAGCAAGTTATTTCCTGAATCTAGTACAAGTGTTTCATGTTATAGAGGATAAAAAAAACACATTCAAATAGTCATGTGTAAGCTGACAGGAGATAATGCTCTGGGCTTCCACAGAGAGAATTTAAGTATTCATAACTATTTCTAATGTAATGAAAACTTACTATATATGACCATCAACTTTCTGATTATTACTTAAGATTGCAAGATCAAATGCATAAAAACCTAATGCAAATAATGAAGATTACAGTTCTGCAACCATATGTAATCAAAACATTATTGTTCTAAAATAGTCCTGCAAGAATTCTATCAGCCTACAAAGCTCTCCATTTTTTCAGTGCATAAGATTTAATTACTTTTCATTACTAAGCACATTCATTTGCAAAATCCATAAGCTTCTCTTCAACAGTTCTTCAAGAAATAAGTTAGAAATCATTTCCACATGTCATAGAAGTAAAATAGATGCTTATGTTGTCAGAAGAGTGTGGTGTAATGAGTCTAAAAGGATAGTCTAAAAAGATACTCCTTAAATTGCTCACACTGAACTAACTCAATGATGCACCTACTGCTGGCACCCAATACCTTTGCTCCATTTCAAAATCAACTGTCAAACAAGTAAAGAAAAGTTTTACTAAATGAAAAATATATTTTTAATATAATTTATATATTTTTTATGAATTATAGTGTATATACATTTTACATATTTTTTTTTTTTTACTTAGTTTACACACAGCTGTTTAATAAAAGCTCTAACCTGTGTTTATCTTCATGGTTATCCAAATAGCAATTAAAAAAAAACCCAACTATTGACATAAAAATGCAAGTGATTGGAATTTTTAAACATGGCTTTATGAAGGCTAAAGATACCCTCTCCAGACAGCAAGCAACCTGAGGTATCTGAACAAATTAAAGTATTACCTGTTGTTTCCATACATCTATCAATTAGTATCTTTGTGCTGTAGGTGCTAGAAGTCATATAGTAGAAAAAAAAAGGTAGAACTCATGGTTGAGGCAGCTTACCACTCTCTGTAGAACTTAATTCTATTTCTATCTTTGCCACAAAGTTCATGTGATGTGCTACCTGAATTACTTTACCAAACACAGTAGGTCAATAGCTGCATTCCTCATCTTCTGGGTGCATGACTCTACACTCCGGGGTACAACCACTCAATGTGCTCCACTCTCAACAGCAGGTTAGAGCTATGGAAAACCTCTTCACCTTTGGTCTATAAAACCCTATATTGTAACCCGTTATGAGACAGAAGGGGGATAATCAATGCGGTGCTTCTCAAATTTGACACCAAAAATTAAGAATAACATAAAAAACATGCACTGCACTACACATCTCCACCTAAAGAGGGGTTTAAAAACACTGTTTCTGAAATATTCATACTGGTACAGAGGAAGACAAATGCCTACACTGAATTAACTGTCTTCAAAACAAGATTTTAATACCATGCAAGAAATTATATATGGGATCATGTATTAAACAAAGACGTGCAAATACATGTTCACCCAGCATCTGCATTTTGTATCCCAAATATAACCCAGACGTGGCAAAAGAGCTAATTTCTGATTATATAAGCTTCTCCTGTTCTGCATATGTATGAGACCTCAATGAGTTCTGACATTTAACTTCTGAGTGTCATAACTGTGCCTGTAAATTTCTTTATATGGACTTGCTTATTCATTTAGCATTTACAGAACTGTCTCAATACGCCTCTGCAAGAAAGAATCACATTACAAAACATTCTTTGTATGAAGATTAGTGGAACTTCACAACTGACTTGTTAATGGTATTGGCAAATCTGCAAGTGAAACCGCAATAAACATTTCTGTAGTTGTCCAAAATGCATTTCCCCCTCCCACACTGTTTCCAGTTTCCACAACATGCCCGTATCTTACCTGATCCAACATGCCCTACATACTTGACAAGGCACTTCCCTGTTTCTATGCTCCACAGCAAAGCAGTGTGATCTACAAAGATTAAAAAGTGGCTGTCAAAATTGTTACAAATGTATGTTTTTCACTTTTAACCAATTCAACAAACAAGTTATCTTCAAATGTAGCTCATACCATACAAAATAGATCTCAAATGTAGAACAAACCAAATCTCTTATATACAAAATATAAAAGCTTCTTATCATTATAACTTAATACACATCTCCCCAAAAAGGTAAAAGTGCTGTCCCAATCAGATTAATTTGCAGTAAATATTGAAAGCCAAATTCTACTTTCAGTATTTTTCCTAACTTGGTTATATACTTATGTATAATGCTCCAACTGTGTATCATGAGGTTCAGAAAGAACACAGAAAGCATTCAGTGGTGAAAAAGTCTGGCAGTCACTACAAACAAGAGTTCTGTGCATGAAAGTCTCAAATGCATATAGGTCACTGCAGAGCACTACGAAAGCTTACTTAAAAAGGGAATCACTCCAAAAGCCACTTCTTTATCCTGCTGCACCCCAAAATAAATATTTAATATAAGTATTTGTCTAAGTGGGGAGAACCTTAATGCTGAATTGGAGAATGGCTGCTTTCGAGTTACATCAGGACAAAGACAAGCTGTCCCACACAGAGACAAAATGTGCCGCTCGACGGGCACATAAAAATGGTAACAGTTCAGTTTATGAAGCAGAGGTTTCTGGTCCATATTATTTACATCCAGTAAGTGTCTTCAGATTCTGTTCCAGTTTCAAAAGAGTTGTCCCTTCAAACTGAACAATTCTAACTGGTTATAGGTTATTTCCCTAACAATTTTCCAAAACCACACAAGCCTCTAGATGGGATTTTTTGATCATAATAGATTTAGTGACTTATCCATTAGTACCTGTTCCTTCTCAAGTGGGAAGGCAGGCACCTAGTAAGTTAATCAGAACTGAAAATTAAGATTTTTAGCTGCCCCTACATTTTTAAGGCAAAAGGCAGATGAATACAAGAATATGCAAACTATGACTAAGTCTACAGCTTCTATAAAACAAAGGCTAAACAATGCTATGATAGGAAGTCTGTGGGGATCTCTGCATATAGCCGTAAAGCATTCTGTGCAAGAGACTTTTCCAAGCAAGCAGCTCCCCAACCCACCCATTTACATCATCCAACAGGCTAGAGCTCATTCTAAGGAGAACATGACCTGCATGGAAGTTAACTGGCACATACTTTAGAAAGGTCAACAAGGATGCCCAAACCTTCTAAAGGTTAAATGCATTTCAAGGAAACTCCACTTTAAGAATTTTTGAGCTACTAAACTTCTTTAAATTGACTCTTTCAGTTTGGAGGTCAGTGGTAAAGCTAAGTATTCCAGTATGCTTTTGATCTACATTTGCTATAGTTTAGGGACTGAACTAAAATTTTCTAAAGATTCAAGCAACACAAAAGTTTACCAGCAGATGCAGTTCCCAACACCACTGGTTGAGTTTTCGCGACACTGACATCCCAAATACCATCCCTGTGGCCAACATATTCCTTTACCAGTTGACAGATTGCCCTTGATGTTGTAGTTTTAAAACTGGATACAATCTGAAATAGCAGAGACACCAACAATTTTTTTCCACATTCACCCAAGATTAAGTAATTATCTCACAAATACAGATACTAACTTTTTCATAATGATTCTTCAGTGTTCTGACAGTTCACTATCGTCAAGAATTTGACATCTGATGGTTGGAAAGTGAGTTTGGATGCAAAGGTACCTTAATTACTTTCCCCCCCCCCCCCCTTTTTTAATAACCCCCCATTTTTACAAAAGGCAAAATAAACTATTCTGTACTACAGTAACACAACCTCATTGGATTAATGAGTTGTACAAATGCAGTGTGCACTTCCCATGCAGTTTGGGTAAAGGATTAAAATTTTTAAACAAACAAAACACACCCAAAACTTTCCTTGCCTATTCCCAAACAAGGATACATATGATAACTTAAAGACAATCCATGTTATCCAGCGTAATCTCTTTGAAAAAATGTACTTTTTATTAGGTAATTCTAGTAAAATCCAGAAACATTCCCATTTAAAAGCCACTGCTGTTTTTCTTCAAAAATGCAAAAAGTTAATCAAATCAAACATTAATCCAGGAGCATATTCCAGTTTATTTGTGTAATAAAGCATTTTTTTTGAAGATATGTCAATCTCATCTAAGCACTCAATAAGCACATCTCCTCAAAGTCAATGCTGTTAGAGGAAAACTGAGAAGACTTATGAAATCCAAATTAGTATGTGCATAAGTAATACCAAATGAAAGGAAGAAAAAGTCTAGCAAAAACGGTAAAACTATAAGGCACTATAGCACATGAAGGCTGAAAACACTCAATATCTACTGAAAGGAACCTAATTGCAGAAATTCTACATTTTCATGTGAAAGGGAAGTGCAATACTTCCTCTTTTTTAAAAAAAAAAGCGCTTTTCTCCCTGTAACACTTATAGAGACAACGGAAATCAAGAGTAGTGAAAAATTATTTCAGTAAGAGCAAAACCACTATTAAAAATACCCTATTTTTACCCCACAAGTCTTGAAGGTCATAACTCCGCTTTGAAAAAGACTGTCTGAAAAGCTTTGTTAAAACTGAAACAAAAAGAAGACTTCAATTTATCACTGTTTTCCTCTGCATGCAATTATGGGCAGGCATCTATCTGAGCGGTGAAGTCAAAGCCTTTAAATGCTTCAACACAAATCACATTAAGTCTTATCTACAGCTTAGTAAAAGTTAGAAAATTAATTAAGTCTACATTTCAGATAGAATAAACTAGGGTTAAAATCCCAATAGTTTTTTGCATCAAAAAAGGTCTTAAGTATGTCATTAAACGAAATTACTTCCAAAAAGGTTTTTAAAAGTTAAAGAATATCTGCAAAAGCATTCCAAATCCTAAGCGTATCAACTTCCCAATGATGAAATGATAATGCCCTATTTGAATTCCAATTAACAGCTAATATGCATTTCGGTTTCACAGCAGAAGGAACAATCATTAAGGATGCACCCAAAAGAATATGGGTTAATGGTAAAGATTATTAGTCCAACCATACTGCAGAGCTTCATAGGCTTCGAATATAATCTTACAGATACAACTTTCACATTGAATATAGTCCTTAAACTAAATGGAGTCATGTATGAGAAGTGGAACAGCGGAATTAAGTAAACTGTTAAGGACTAATATAGCGCTTAGCTCAAATTCCAAACTTAAAATTTTTTTCAACTCTGAACCTCACACTCGAACTAATCTTGCATTATGTCTTTCTAATGTTGGGTCAATCTCCTACTCATCAACACGCACAGGTTTTCCAAAACTGCTGGACTCTTGTTTCACTGATCATTTAATGGCAAGGCTGTAAAACTCCTTTTGGAGTATGAGCAGTCTTGAATGATCACACAGAGATAAAAGTTCAAGAACACCATCTAACACTAAATATCCACATATAGATATTTATTTAATGCAAACTTTTTCTACACAACTTTCTTTTTTTGCTGTACTTCACATAAAAATAATTGGATAAACTAGACAGTGTCTGGATTACTTCCTGGTTCCTTAACCATACATAAAAAATCTTCCAAGAAAGAAAAGGAAATACTTAAATAACATGCAACTTACTAAAAAGAGGTCTCTGCACTGCAGAAAGTTTTTAAAATAACTTCAGCGTATCTCAGATTACCATATACGAACACAAGTAAGTGTGTTTCAGCTTTGTCCTCTTTCGTAAATTCCTATAGTTTCATATACTTCCTTCTATGCAGAGAAGTTTGTTCTATGCAAACACTTGAAAATTGCAAATCGAAACACCATGAAAGCAGTTGTTTACCATGTAAAGAATTGAAAAATTAATACAAATTGAAACAATTGCATGACAAACGAATTGGAACACCCTGTAAAAATGCCTCTTACGCAGACAGGACACATGAGAAAGAAGAATGAAAACTTGGTCAATTCAACACCAGTCCAGCATCGTTACACTACGACCAATGAACAGAGATTCCTGTGGAGCAACATTAAGCAGTGAGGTCAAAAAACTAAATCATCCAAAAAGTTTTATTCCCTTTAACTGCTGGGTGAAGAAATACCATCCTTTAAGAGTCCTTCACCTGATGCAAAAGAATCAGAGATTCTGGAAGTTAGTTTATGATGAAGTGAGTTATATCATTTCAGTTTACTTTAGGATTCTGCATGAACTGTTAATGTTTTCCTGATGTCTTAACAACTGTCATAGCCAGGGATTGTTAACATCAGCAATAACACCTTGTTAACATCAAAACATTAATTTCACACAGCAATTCCTGCATCTACAAACAACTGCAGTTAAATTACAGAATCTATTACCATTAACCTATACAAAAAATTAGAGTACCAAGTACTAAATGTACTCTATCTTTCCAGGAGTTGTGCACCGGTAGATAACCCATGCTGCTAAAAGCATCCTTGTCGGATACAAGTTTTGCCAACTTAATATACAGACTCCCAACTCAGAAAAGGGATGTAAAGTAACCAGGTATGGGAATTTTTGATGAAGGACTTGAATCAAGCATGTTTACCTTAGCATTTTTCCCAAGAAAATTAACAGATTGCTTTAGTCTTAGGATGTTTTAACACTATTAAAGCAGTCAAGGATCAGCTTGCTCATTAGAACAAGCAAATATTGAAAGCTCTTTTCAGAACAAACCTAAACTCTTTATAGGCTGGCAATCAGAAAAATGTAATCGTGTGCAATTACACAAAACAATTGATTCGTAAAACTTAGGTCTCTTCTAATCACCCACAGGGAAAAAAAGAAAAAAAAAGAAAAAAGAAGATTTCTGGCAAGTTTTAAATTAGGCATACAGTAATAGTTTAAAGGATGGCCTGAAGAGAAAAGTTGCAATCCACTGCCCCACTGAGTTTGGATCATAACCCATTTTTGCTGAACAGCATTGTTCATTTAATGCTCATAAAAAATACAGACATAAGAATTTCAAAACTGCTGAACTCTTAAAACTCTTCAAATGTCATTTTCCCAGATGGTGTATTAGGGAACTCTAACTGCAGGATACAGACAGAAAGATTATAGTTTGTCAGAAACTTAGTTATAGTCTTTCCTGACTTTTGGCTATAGTCTCTTTGTGGGTCAAGAGGTTGCAGCTTTGACTATTCTGTGCAGGAATGAAGAAATGGTCAAAATAAAGCCACTCCCATGAAGTGCAGAAAGGGTTCAAAGAACAGACTGGACAGAGATGCTCTCAACTTCATCGTTTCCCTCAGCCCTCCTCTTTACCCTGCAGTAAATTCTGATTCAAAGTTATGGAAAGAAATATATCAGCACATTCAAACATCTGATGGTTATCAACTAATAGAGTAGATATGTACGATGTCTATAATAAGGTATTAAAATTCTTCATGTTCCACTACTCATGACTACTTTGCTGTGCATGCACATCAGAACACCAGGAAGCAAAGCAATTACGCAGGAGTCACCATCCCATGCTTCCCAGCTTCCCATGCTGAAGTTGCAAGGTCCACCTGCCTTGCCCAGGAAAGAATAAAAGCACTACACAGCAAGCAAATAAAAGACAACAAGTATTTAACACCAGCCTTAAAAAAACAAACACACACACAATAAAAACCACCACACAAAAACAAAAACCCCAAAACTACACTAGAAAAAATACTAATTCCTAACTACACAGGACATGTACTAATACTGTAGTCCCTATTAATATCATGTTGTTCCTATTTAAGTGACCTCATTAAAAGGATTTGTAAGTCATTAACTCTTAAGAAAAAGGAAGAGGCACCTCTATGCATCAGATTGGCAAGAATAAAGAAGGAAGTTTGAAAAACAATAAAATAAAAAAGACACCAAATAAAACATAGTACCTTAGAACTATTTCACCACACTGCTCCTCTTCTTACTCTCAAATTTTCAGACTACTTAACAGATGGTATTTCCAAGACACCTACAGTCATTCCATAACCACACATTAACCTGCAATACAGGTCAGCTCAGAGCTTCTTATATAGGTGGTTCATGTACCAGACCCCACAGTGGTTTCCTCACATTTCATTTAACCTTAGTAACGTATTGTGAGAAGACCCTGAGACAGGGCAAAAGGAGCAGCAGGTAAACTCTCTAAGAAAATTGACAAAGGGGTGAGAAAGAGAAAAACAAAAATACCAGACAGATGCAGATGTGCAAAATTAAAAGCATCAGAAAGGGTCACTGTGCTGAGAGACCAGGCAAAACAGATCACTAGCTACTAATTTGCAAGGCTTGCAACACAAAGGAAGGAAACCGTTCTAATCTCATAGCTTAAAAAAAAAATCAAAATTATTACAAAAACCCCCAAAACTATAATAGTATACATACAGATGCCTACTTACATCCCCATTTCAACTGCAATACCCAAATCATTATTCAGAAATTCACTACCTACTAAGTTCTCTACTTCCCTCACAAAATTGAGTATTTTTTTAGTTCTCTTTACAAATGAGTAATCTCACGTACACACGTGTGCACACACCCTCCCCCTCCAACATTCATGCTTTAAAAAACATGAGCAATTACAGTGAAAATGTCATACAGTGTGGTTGAAGTAATGGGTAACTGATGAATCCAAGATAAAGATACTGTTCCTCATCAGGCAGGTTTACTCAAAGAACAGCACTACCCAGCCTAAAGAAACCACAATTTACGATTTAAAGACAGCCATTTTATCTCATGAGTACACATTGATGAGTAGAGGTTTAATTTGTCTCATACCTTGCTAGTAGATGCCTTGTAAGTTGTCTTTAATTTCTGAGAAAGCTGACTGGTACTATGACTGGCTGTTGAGACAAATAAATTCAAAGGAAGATATTTCAAATACAGCATTAGCTTATTTGTATAAGTAATTGGTATTAATTCCTTTCAATAAGATTCTAAGTTTTGGGCAGTTAAGTATAAAAAAAGTAAATTCAAAAATACTAGTTTAAGATTCTTTGTGGTTCCCTTACCTTTTGTTTTCAGTTGTCCTTTGCTCAATTCAGCTCCATCGATTGTCTGTCCTTCAGCTGCTAAACGCTCATTGAGTGTATCAATCTCTCTACGTACTAACAATAACAAAAATTCACATTAATACAAAAAATTTAATATCATTAGCAATATAATTAACACAGTATTTAAGAATTGTTATGGTAAGTAAGTAAACTATTTTATGCTAAGGACAGGAAAGGAGACCAGCTGTGATTTTATAAAAGCAGGTCTCACCAAGACATAAACCAAGACTCATGCTGAATTTTCCAGAGATCAACCTTGACCCAGATTCCAAGGAAAGTATTAGTGGCTTCTAATTACTGTTACTTTTACTAATAAATGTGACTAAGATGAACAAAATAGCTTCTGTGAAATACACTGCACACCTGTACTGAATTACATCCAACAAAAGACAGAAAATTTCCAGTATCATAAATATTTTAGCCACAGAATTAGTATGTAATTTCTTGACAAAGATTTTATTAATCAAGAAATATTCTCCCCTGAATATCTGTCTGCTGCTAGAGTTTCAGTAAGAAAGGTAGTGCAGCAAATGTGTATTTTTTTATAATTTAAGATACATTTAAAAAATGTAGAATGACATATACATTTTACATTTAAGTGTTTCAGAAACATTAAATATGATCAAAACATTTTCACTGCACATCAGACAAAGCATGTATTTGTAACAAGAACATGCTTTTTTGTCAATTATTCATAACTCTCACCAGTGCCATTTCAACACAAGACAAGAGTGATGCATAACTAAAACAAATTAGGTACTCGTAAGTAACTCCAGTGGCTGGGTTGGTTTAAAGTTGCTCAACTTCATTTTATAAAGAACATTATAGTTTTTCCTCAAAAACTGAGCTGATACTCTTTAAGTGTTCTCCTCAGGTGAAATCCTGCTGCAGAAGTTGCCATGATTTAGCTCCAGCTGGCAACTAGGCAACTAAGCACCACGCAGCCATTTGCCTCCCCCTTCCAGGTGGGATCGGGGAGAGAATCGGCAAAAAGATTCACAGGTTGAGATAAAAATAATTTAATGGGACAGCAAAGGAAGAGGAAACAGTAGTAGTAGTAATAATAATAGTGATTATGAAGGAATATACAAAACCAAGTGATGCCCAATGCAGTAACTGCTCACCACCCGGTGATCGAGCAGCGATTCCCACCCCCGGCCAACTCCGGTTCGTACCCTGAGCACGACGTTACATGGTGGGAACGTCCCTTTGGCCAGGCTGGGCCGGGGTCCCGGCTGTGCCCCCTCCCGGCTGCTTGTGCCCCTCCCCGCTGGCTGAGCACAGGGAGCTGAACAGCCCGTGACTGAGCATAAGCACCACAACGCTCAGCAACAACCACACCATCGGTGTGGTATCAGCGTTATTCTCACACCAAATCCAAAACACAGCACTGTACCAGCTATTAGGAAGAAAAATCAACTCTATCCCAGACAAAACCAGGACACAAGCTTTAACCAAGCAGTTTTTCACTGTTCTTGAGAATAAGTCTAGGCCTGTGTTTCCACAAATTCTTAGGACTTTTTTTAAAGAAGTCATTCACTCCCAGACTTTGAAATGTGGGAGAATGCAACCCATCAGGAGTATGCTTCTTGCCATTTCTGAGAAATTCACTGAAGTCACAGTTCTAAGCACTAGAAAAGTCAGTTTTCACTTGCATACCACATCCAAGTGCTTGAAATGAGCAAAGCAAGATCCTCTTTCCTGTGTTCCCAGTCCCATACTCATACACTTTTATAAAACACAGACAATGTCAAAGAGAAGTAAACAAAGAGACAAGCTTGCAGTAACAGATGACTGAAACAAACAAGCCAGGCCAATACAAGAATTGCCTGAAAGGATTAAGACTGAAGCCTGGAAGAGATAAGAACAGGCCGAAACTAGAAATAAGTTGTAATAAGGGAAAGAGAGTATACGAAGAGCAAGGGAGGAAAAACCTGAGATTCTCTACATACAGTAACCGTAACACTAATGTAGGACTTAGACTAAGAGCAAAAAATAACAGACTGAGCATAAGAAAAGAAAAAATTTAGAACCTTTCAGTGGGGTGGCAAGAGATCACAAAGGCCAGGAGTGAACTAGAACGCTGAGGTGAAGAAGGAAGATGCAGGAAAAACAGAAGTGGAATGGAAGGAAAATAACCACACTCTGGAGGGTACAAACAAATTCAACACTTGTTTTCTGAAAAGCATTTTTGAAGTTGGGGGGGGATGGACAGGGGACAATCTCTATTTTTCTTGTTAACAGCCAACTTCTCAGCAGAAGGCTTGAGAACACAGTTGTGAAAATTGTCACTAAAAAATGTGCAGTGTTGATGATAGCCTTTAACCAACACAGTCTCAAGGTTTTAAGAGAATAAAAAAAACAGTGTATTTTCAAGAAGCACCAAAGAATGCTTTTTTAACACAAGTGTTTGGTTAAACTGTGGGAACAGATTAGGTGTGGAAAAAAATTTTACTTGGAGCCAAGCCAGACAGATTCCACAACTTGGAAACAAAGCCACACAACACAGCTTCCAAAATCCAGCAAGGAAAATTGAGTAGAGGCTTTATGGTATGACTGCCTGTGTTACTATGGATCCTCTTACATCACCTTGGATCACTTACATAATTACCATATCACTGCATTGTCATTAAACAAATAACATTTTTTGCCAATAACACCTGGAACTTTCATCTGAGTGCTCAACTTCAAAATTCATAGACAGTTGCAAGTGCTGGTTATGCAGTGTACTAAGTAGTAGGATCCAGAAACCCCACATTTTACACTTTTTCAAGTAAGAGACTTCGACAATTTTATTTACTAATATTAATATATCTTAATATTAACACTAATATCATTAAAATTAAGCCTGTAAATATAAAACAAAGCCACAAACTTCAATGGCTGAATGGGGTCACTACCAGATTAGTATGTTCTATACCAAAGCCTACAATGAGAAGGAAACAGTCACTTTGCTTTCTTTGCCTAAGAGTCAAGGAGGATGACACACATCAGTTATTGCTACTTGTGTCAAAGAAAGTGATTTTTCCAAAAAGATACAAGCCCCATCTTTGGCTACAAGTTCAAAACAACTCAAAGTCCTCACAGAAAAGTTACACTAATAACACTGCAGTATCCAAGGTAAGCATCTCAGCGCTACTATATCCTAAATCCAAACAATTCATATGTTGCCAGAAAAAAATTAGATACTCACATTCCAAATTTTCAATATACAGGTTTTCAAACTCCCGCTCTATTTGTCCAAAAAGTTCAAGAAGCGTATTCCTGACAGAAGATGGTAGTTTAGAATCCTAGGAGGCAAAATATTGGGGTTTATATTTTTCTTTACATATATTTCATGTAGTTACCCTTCAATCTTAAACTGATTTTAACAGTTCTCTCTATCTCCCAGCAAGGAGGAAGATTAAAACTGCTAGTGTACAACACTAAACAAAAAGCTCTGTGCATCATAAAATTATTAATTTTACATACTCTTTCTCTTTCAAGGGACAGAATTCAAATCAGCTGTGGGGTTTTTTTGTTTTTACTAGAGAAGAATTATAAAACCAAGGTACATGTACAACTCATTAAAGAAAATGCGGGAGAAAATTTATAATATAATGTCAAGGTGCTTCCAGTTCAACCAGTTCCTTTGGTCGACAAAATAATTCAGAAGTTGACTATGCATTATGTTAGGAAGTTGTCATCACAAAGCACCTTACTACCAAAGCTTGACACAAACTAAGCTTTTAAACATATTTTTAACATTTACCTATTTTTGTCAGTAACCGTAACTAAGTGTGAAGGAAACTGCAATTTCTAATCCTTCCCTCCCCAGATATTACTCAAGCAACTCCTCTTCACAGAAAGCATTCTGAAGCAAATTCACAGAGGAGGGCTGATTTTTTTCTTCAGCATAACGAACACATCAATTCCGAGGCACAAAATCAAGTATGCAATAAAACCACTAACACAGGATTTGTACAATCTGAGCTCACTAGACAGCTTGACCACAAGTTTCTGTTGGCAAGTTATTTAAATTTTATCCATCTGCCTATAAAACTGAGATCAGCACCATATTTTCCCAAACAAATGCATACCATATCCAAAACAAGTAAGTACTGATTTCTGTTGGGAGTCAAGGTTCCCACTACGTCAATGATTCTGTCACCAAACACTGTTGAGCAGACAGTGAGTAAAGCAGAAGACACCTGACTGCAGTACACTGAGAACCTAGTACTAACAAACACCTTAAAATTTAAAGCACAGCATGCTACTAAAAAATGGCAAATCAGAAAGGAGAAAATACGGTCAGTAGTCTAATAATGATCAATTAATCCACTACAAGTATGGATCAAAGGATGAACCATCCTTGCTCACTACATAAATGAATTCTACTAAACCTGTTCTATTCTTCAGCTGCTGGTGGACCACAATATGTCAGTTGGCTTACTGCACTTATTATTTATCTAGGTAGCCAGCTATAATTTTTTTTTAAAAGTAGTTTCCACTTAACTGAGCCTTACCCTAACAATGAAAAAGCTCAGTTACTCCTTCGTAGTATATCTAACCCATCGTCTCCAAATTCAGTACAACATCTTACTACTGGACTTATTACTGTAATCTTATTACTGTAAATAATGCAGCCATACCCAAAAAGTGAGACATACCTATGCAAGGAAACAAGTTACCAAATATCAAAGTGAAATTAATATGGTACCATGTATACCATATTATTAATATATCTGGAGAGAATGGTCAAGCATTGGAACAGGCTGCCCGCCCAGCAAGATGATGGAGCCACCACCACTGTGTTCAAAAAACATGTAGACATGGCACTTCAGGGTATGGTTTAGTGGGCATGGTAGTGTTGGGTTGATGGTTGGACTTGATGATCTTAAAGGTCTTTTCCAACCTTAATGATTCTGTGATCTATCATATATACAGGGAATGTGCCTATCAGCAACATCTGCTTTTTCAAAACAAAAGTTAATTTTAAAATCTTGAAATCATCAGCTATAAGCCAAAAAAGAAAACTGAGTCAGCTTTTCCCACAGCACAAACCACTATTTTTTCTAGAAGTGCAGAAGCAGCACTACTAGAATGGGAGTACAAATGTTAGCACAGGACACCACCCAAATTCGAGCAAATTAGGATCATTATAGCCTGTTTTGTTCTTAAGTGTTCCAGCAAACCAAAACCATCAGAAATTGGTTCCACTTCTATTAACTGAGTTAGGAAGAAGCATGTGCATACAAGCCATCAGAGGGCAGCATGCGCCTTCCACCAAGTCAGCATCTAAACAACCAGAATTTCATCTCACATTTTGGTTCACGCAGTCAAGACAATTGTCTTCAGAAACAATTAGAAAAGCCTATCACGATCCCGATTTCATAAGTTACTTCTGAACATGAATTTTAAGGAGAAGAGTAAGAAAAACCACTAATAGCCATGACATAGAGCACATCTGCGTTGCACATAGTTCAGTTTTACACCAGCTTCACAGCTACTTCAAGCTGTGACACTGTGCTGAAACAGGCACTGTGCTGAAAGAAGTATGCGCCTATGCGCCTTATGCCCCCCCTAGGATATTCCTTTCTGCATCTTCATCTGCCTCTCCCTTAAGACAGTACTTTTGTTCATGCATTTGCAGTCAACCAGAACGTGAAACAGATCCAGATTAAAACCAACTTGAAAAAAATTTGATTAAACAAGAATACTGTACAAATGAAATACTATTAAGAGAAACACTGCAGTTAGAAGAATTATTTCTGATTCAATTACCCAGTAATTCCATACAGTAAGGTTATGAAAGAAACTAAGATATCCTACAATTTTTGAAACAGAAAAGAAATACAGGAAAGGTCTTCAATTCACTTCTCAGAGTCTGAAAGCAAAAGCAAATCTAAACCTGTCCTAAAGTAACCAGCATAGCAAAACGTGTCCACTTCCTTTAATCTCTTTAAAGTTGGCATTAAATTAGCTTATTAAGATACCATGTAATAATGTTATCTGTTTATCTACAAAAGTACTTATCTAGATCTCATGTGGTTTACAGCTCCACTGTGAAGAAGCATTAATAGTCTCTATGCATTAGAATCTGCCACTGCCTGTTCAAGATTAAAAGTCAACAAAATTAAATAAGATGATACATAAAACATTTAGAACATTTACATATTACAGCATAATACACTTAGAAAGTTTGATAAGAAATACTAGAACAGCTTAAAATTTTGGTTTACTACACAGAAGCAACAGCATGTCTTGGCCTCTCAGCTGCTCTTCACTCCTTTCCTGAAGTAAGGCTGTAATATTCCAAATGCATGAACTGTTTTCTATCCAAGTACTTACATTCTCCAACTCCTAGATGACTAGAAGCAACAACTTGGGCTCTGTTCGTTCCCAGAAAGCTAACGCTATAATTAGCTGAGTAACGGATTCAATTTAAATAAAAAAATCTGTCACAACACTCAGAACCCTTCAGAGTATCTGCAGGATCCAGAAAGTGAGGTTTCTCGTAGCCAAATACCATTAGTATTTCAAACCACGTCTCAAAAATCAAGTTTTGCATCATCTTTGCCAGGCCCACATTAACAATGCATATTCAGTTTGACAATAAATAGTTTTCAAACTGCTATTTGCTTATCTTTTGCAGTACTGCTTCAAACGCTTCCTATAGGAGCCTTACCTACAGTTAACCTCAGTATCGCTAGGTAAAGCACTCCAAGTGGCTCCAGACTGCGTCCACTACATAGACTGCGTCCACTACATAGACTGACATGATTAAGAAAACTACAGAAGTTTGTGGTAGTTGTTCTTTCCCTTAAGTTTAATACACAGACGATTACACCTTCATTTGAGCCAAATTAAAATTAAAAAAAACAAACCCCACAAACAAAAATTTAAGTTAGCTCATGCCTCTGTCAAGCCGGCATTGTTTGTTTACTTTATGGAAAGGAATGCAGAACAGCATTCCCACTAATACCTTCCCTATCAAAGCTATAACAACAAATATTTTGGTTTATTCATGCATAGTTACCACTATACCAAATTCAAACTTAAGAAATCAAGAATCCATCTTCAACTTGGGGGGGGGGGGCGCTGTTTGCAGCAAAATAAATAAGCTGTTTCTTTTTATTTCTTCATGGTTTTATCATTCATTTAAGAATACACAAAAGCCAACAGAAAGCTCTGCAGGTCTGAATACAACCTGAAGCACTGTCAACCTCCAGGTCAATAGCCTCCAAAGACAGTCAGCACTTAAAACAAGAAAGTCTTCCATTCCCGCAGCTTTACTGGACATATTTCATTACTTAAGTTTGTTTTCTTCGCATAGAAAACACTACTTATAAAAAAGTTCTGCAAGTTACCAAAGCAGTAGTGTATTATCTTACCTGCCCTTCCAACATGTCTCTCTGCAGTCCTGCCCGTTCTTGCTCAGAACTGTTGGTTCTTCGGATTGAAAGACTGTGTGATTTACGTTTCTGCTTTGCCTGGCGAGCAGATGCACAACTTCCACTTTCTATTGGCATTACTTCAAAAACACAGTTTCACAGAGGCTCCTATGACAAACTAAGGACAAGCATTACACATTACAAATTGCTTTGCCAAACTAATCAGTTTAAAATTTTTTTTCTGAAAATAGAAACATTTAGTTCTACTAAATGTTGGAGTTGTTTGGGGGTGTCATTGAAAAGAAGGGCTCCCTATTATTTACAGCTATTCTTCAAACAACATGAAGTCCAAATATACATATGCATATATGTAAATAAAGTGGTATCATTTCTGCATTACTTATTCATTAGCTAACAAACCTCCACAAAAGGAAATTTAATTCCACTACCTTGCTCATTTTGGAGAGCACTAGCAGAGACAGCCCCAAAATGCTTCCAGGAAACAACTATTATGCACACTATACTTCACTGAAATACATGCAAAATTAAAACCCAGCTGGAAAATGAAAGCAAACAGACATGATAATTTAGGGACATTGTCAGGTTCAAAATGTATTGTGCAACATTAAGTGTTAGTATACAAAATTTAATAGATGTGCTTGTTTACACTTCAGCAGAAATTAATTTTAATGACAGAAAACTACCTTCCACCATTTTTGACAGCTCATGGTTTCACCTTCTTGGAAGTAAAAGTGCCCATGAACTTATGAGAAGAGTGGAAGCGCATCTGACTTACCAGGTTGTTGTTGTTAATTTTTGTCAGCTTGTTAAAGCCAAATATGCATTTTAATATCCTTAAAAACACCTGACAGTATCACCAATTAGTATTACCATGCATGATCTACTGCCTTCCCCTGTTTAAGAAAAATCAAATTATGTTTGATTTCTTGCATAAACGTGGAGAACACATTCTTTACTGTCAAAATATTATTTTTTACAAACATTTAATTATTGATTTTTTTTTAATTAAACCTGATATTCAACAGAAATTATTTTTTGTTTCATGGGATACCAGTTGTTAAACATTTCAAACGTTTGAAAAATTTTGAATAATCAATCTTAAATCATAAATATTGAGAACAAAATAAAAATTCATTCTCCAGCATAAATTATTTCTGAAACAACAATTACAACTTAAAATAGCTGCAACAGTCTGCAAAGAAATAGAGAGCAGAGTTGGCAAAGCTAACAAGGCAACTGAGCTTCCTTTTAAATAAATTGATTAGCGAAAATTTAAACCACACCCAGGGCCACTTCCAATTTAAGATCTGCCAACACACTAGATCTCAAGCTAGGAATGAGCACCATCACTATTCAAAAGACTAGGCATTAACCAGCTGGTGGTTCTGACATGGTATTTTCAGCTTTTTAACATATCATAAAGCCAAGGAAAATCATAGCTTACTAAAAACACAGTATACGCTATGAATAAAAACAGCTTGAAATTTGCTCTGGTTTTTAGATCACAAAATGAAAATATATAAGGATACTTAAATTTCTATCAAAATTAGACTAGATTTAGTTAAGGTTTCAATGCCCATCCACCTTCAGATTTTCTCATTAAAAACCTTGGTATTTTAATTAGCTTTTGGAACATCCGAGTTCCAGTAACCTGACATCAATTCCATAGTGAACCTAAAATAAAATTCAGGTTGCACCAGTATCTTGTCCTGCACTGAAATTATTTTGTTCATTTCCTCTGGACTCTGCACAGTCCTTCCCTGCACCTAATCCCATCAGAGATTTTTATGTGTGATTAACCAGTAGTAACTAATTAGCTGTGTTCACAAATTAAAGAAGAAAGAAGGGAAAGAACTACCACTGGGTAGTTCCTTATTTGACTAGATTTCTTTTTTCACTGTGGCTAGATTCCTCTACCATAGAAAGACAGGACTGAAATTAAAAAAAGTCCATCCCATAAACACGTTATTGCCAATTTTCTGGACTTCACCAAGTATCTTCCTGTTCCTGGGCATATGGTCAGCAATTAGCAACGGGTTTTCAGCACTCATCGCAATTCTGCTTCTTTTCAAAATATGATCCAATCCCAAACACATGTATACTCTCCTCTCTTCCACACTCCTTCCTATCCCCCTTGGGAACCACTCTTTCAGTAGCTTTCAGTTTACTGGTTTCTGCAGTGTTCGGGATCACTTTTTAAGGCCCAAAGCACCACATTCGGTGTGCACACACGCAGATGTGTTAAACAGTTTTATATCTATACATACACATAGTTACATATAAACACATAAATAGTTAACACTGTTTCACTTCAGATGTGTGGGGAAAAAAAACAACTCATTTCTAATTCCTGCCAGATGTACCTCCTGAGCTGTAGTTATATAGAGAGATATTAATATGGTTTATGTCTTACCAGGCATTATTTTAACTATGCTAACTTCCATTTGCCTTCTGCTGCTAAGCTACTTCATTTTAGAGGACTTTACCAAGAAACACCCTTTTCTGGATTGCTTCCTAGAATCATAGAACAGTTTGGGTTGGAAGGGACATTTAAAGGTCATCCAGTCCAACCCCCTGTCATGAACAGGGACATCTGCAAATAGACCAGGTTGCTCAGAGCCCCGTCCAACCTGGCCTTGAATGTTTCCAGGGATGGAGCATCTACCACCTCTCTGGGCAACCTGTGACAGGGCTTTACTACCCTCATTGTCAAAAATGTCTTCCTTAGATCTAGTCTGAATCTGCCCTCTTTAAAACCATTACGCCTTGTCCTGTCACCACAGGCCCTGTTAGAAAGTCTCTCTCCATCTTATAAGCCCCTTTTAAGTATTGAAAAGCCACAACAGGGTCTTCCCAGAGACTCCTCCAAGATGAACAACCCCAACTCTCAGCCTTTCTTCATAGGAGAGGTGTTCCATTCCTCTGATCATTTTTGTGGCCCTCCTCTGGACCTGCTCCAACAGGACCATGTCTTTCTTGTAGGATTGGATACAAGTGACTTTCTGGGATGCAAGTGCACATTGCTACCTCATGTCCAATTTTTCATCAGCCAGAACCCCCAAATCCTTCTCTGCAGGGCTGCTCTCAATCCATTCATCCCTCAGCCTGTACTGATATTGGGGATTGCCCCAACTCATGGTGCAGGGCCTTGCACTTGGCCTTGTTGAACTTCATGAGGTTTGCATGGGCCCACTCCACAAGCCTGTCAAGGTCCCATCCCCCTGGAGGGCATCCCTTCCCTCAAGCAAATCAACTGCACCACTCAGTATCAGTACGTACAGATTCGGCAGCTATACATTCTAGCATGTAGAATTTAAAGGGACACAGTCAAATGCATGAGATTACATTTTTACATTGTTAAATTCTCACATTAACTACACAAAAGTTTCCAGTTTCACAGCTCATAAGCACACAGAAAAGGTTAGGTAAGAAACACCTCCATTATCGTATCTATTTGGTAGCAGCACTTCACCTGCAGCCAGTGTCACTGACAGAACTGCACTCTCCTCATGCACCAGCATGACCACATCGCTCATGCGCCGTTCTGGAGAGAGCAAGC